GTTTCAGGGATGAGCAGTAGCCCAGGCCTAAGGCAATAACTGTCCACTGTTCTGGCCACCATGACTGGTCCAAGGATGAACTGAGTTCATCTGATCAGAGGAAGCCCAAGACTTTTGTGCAATGAGTGAGTCAAGAGAAACTCTCTCTCCTCTTGGGCAGTGTGGTGCATGGGTGGAAATGGCTAGTTTTGGTACCATCATTTTAGCATCAGGTGAGAAGGCAAACTAAATAGGAAGCTGATTCAAAAAGAAGAGGAAAAGCTGAGAGAAGTGCAGAAAAAATAGAGCAAGAGTTTTTATGAAAGACTAAACTATGAGTTTTATTAAGGTAAGCTTTATTAAGCCCTGCTTGAAGCTCACACTACTTCTGGATGTTTCACTTAGAGAAGTCCTTGTGCTTCCTTTGCTGTTGAGGCCAGTTTGAGCTCTATTATTTGCAGCCCAAAGCAGCCTAGCCAGGATGCCAAATGATTTCTTGGAATCCATTTTTTCCATTTCTGAGGTAGGTGTGAGGTGGAGCAAACAAAATGACAAAAAGTGACTAAATTTTACAACCTTATTGTTCTTCCAGAGTTCTACTCTCAGCTAGATCACTCAGTTGGCCCATGGTTAGGAACCAGTGAGAAAGGTGTAAAAAATTTGAAGGAAGCCCCCCAAAATAGCAGGGAACATGAAAACAGAGGTTAAATAATCAAAGAGAGGGAGAAGGCCAGTGGAATCATAATGGAGATGCCTCAGAGTTATCTTAGCCCTTCTCCATGCTGTGGTACCAAGCCCTGGGGATTCTGTCTCAGTATCCCTGATTCTCATGGCTTACTCTTCATTTTCACCATTATGTTTAGTTTAGACCTTCATGACCTCTGTATTTCTCGCTCTCTCTGCCTTCACTCTCGTCCCTCCAAGTCCATTTTCCACACCACTCCTGGAGTGATCTTTTCAAAAGACAGCTCTGAAGTTGTCATTTCCTCCCGAAAAACTTTTGATGTCTCCTTCATATGGAGGATGGGAAACAGCATGAATTTTGAAGACAGATAATTTTGAAACCTAGCTCTGACACTGAGCAGCTGTGTGACTCTGGATAATTTTTTAAATTTCTCTGCATATCACCTATCTCAACTATAGCAGTGACACTGTAATAGTCAGGATTTCTCTGGTTATCAGGGACAGAAAACTAACCCATACTCACTAGGCAAAAAGGGAGGAGAGACTTACTAACTCAAGTGACCAATTATAGAACAGTATGTTGTACGACTGTTGGGGCTTGGGGATAATTAGAAATAGGAACTCACAAATAGCCTGTATTATATCTGCCTTTTTTGGGGGAAAAGGGCTAGAAAGAGGAGGTTTATCTCTCCATTTTTGCTTCTCTCAGCATTTAGCTTCATTTTTTTGGATTGGCTGTTTTGTGAATGGCTGAAACATCAATGACCAACAGCTTTGGCTTACCATTTACAGTTTGGTTAGTAAAAGAGGGGAGACTCCTGTTTGGAACCCCAAAGTCAAACCTTTCAGGAAGGGCTCTGACTGCCCTATTTTAGATCAGGTGCCCACCCAGGGCTAATCAACAGGAGTTGGGGCAGGATGTGTAAGAAGATGGCAGCTTCTATTTAAAGTGATCACAGAGATTAGATTAAAAGGAACATGTAGCAGAAGCAAATGGTGCTGTTCTGGATAGACAAACCAGTATATATTCTCTATGAAGTTTATCTTGCATGGTTGTTTTGGGGAATAAGATGACCTACATAAATGGGCACCAGGTACCCAGGACAGTGTCTGAGCACAGTATACAGTGAGAGTACACAGCCAGCAGACGCTCTTCAAATTCCTTCTCCATCCTCACATCCTCACTCCCAGGGCTAATGTTTGCCTAGATGGTACCTTTGTCTTTTGGTAATTTCAAAAAGGTTCCCCTCTCTGAGTGGATGCATCTCTATGGGCACAGGTCTGACAAACCAAAGTCACATCTGTGATAAGAAAAAAGTGCCCTTAATTCGGATGAACATAATGTTGAGCCAGCTTTCTCCCTTGGCCTTTGTACAGTGCACAGACTGCCCAGCCTGGGTGGGCCCTGCATGCTTCCTAACGTGGCTCCCGGAGGCCCAGGGACTGGCTGCATTATACAGTTCCTGTATACAAACCTGCTCCCCCGCACCACTAACCCTGCACTCTGTTCATTCTAGATGGCCCACATTCCCCAGAAACTGTGTGCACTCCTTTTTGCCCTGGTGCACAGTGTCTTTACCAGGCATTCTTATCTTACTCCTACTGTCCCCGAAAAGCCCAGGCCAATGACAGCCTTCTGCAAACCCTTCCTTAGCACACCCAGAAGTAGGTACTAAAAGCCTCCTCTGTGCTTCCAACTTGTTATTTTTCCTCTACCCCAGCACTGATCACTTTATTTAGTAATTATTCATTTGCTCATCAGTTCCTTTCTGTCTTCCTCTCTAGTGACTATGGCTTTCCAGCTCTTTGTCACCCATCTAGAAATAAAGCCTGGGATCTGACAGACCTCAATAAATGCTTGTTAAATGAAATACTGGATGAATCAATGAAGAGTAGGAAGTAGAGGAAAAGAGAAGGCTAGATAGAAATTTCACTGTTCTCACACAGACCTGTGTTTTGACATTTGCAGCTGACAGAAAAGGAGAAAAGCAAGCACAGAGCCTAGGAGATGCTTAGAAAACAAAGTTGCTTCCTGTCCCTTCAATCCCTGAAATTTAAGAACTGTTTCTGTTTTTTTTAACCACTTGAGGCATCTTCTTTGACTATAGGAAAGTGAGATTTCTGTTGAGATCTGTTTGGTCCTTCCAGTTAATCCATCTGTTGGCTGACCTCAGGCATCCAGGATAATTCCCCCTCCCACTCCACATACACACTGGTGGAATCAGTCCAGAGCTCTAAGATTCCTGGCAGTCAGTTTTGGCTTTTCTATGGGCCAAAGGGATGAAATCACCATCCTCAATGAAGTCACCGCTGCATGATTCACCCGACATCAGTTTCCCACTTGCAGGACTCTGACATTGCCAGAGCTTCTCCCAGAGCACCCAGAACCTGGGGACCCTGACATTTTTCAAGGTTCTGGAGCTGATCCTCTAGCGTTCTGGATTCTTAGTAAATGTCTGTCTCTCTGAGAAGTAGTGTAAGAGTTCAGGAGGTTGGAGTCCTCGGTGGTGGAAACCTCAGAGAAGGCTCCATCCGCCAGTCCTGGGGTAGACCTTGTCATCCCTCATAAAGGCCTTCCCCATGTCTCCAGCAACTGCTTCTCCCCTTTGTCCCAAAGGTTTTACCAGGATCTCTCAAGATACATTGTGATGGGTCCTAGAGTTCTCAAGGGTGAGAACTGATCTCAGCCTTACAGATGAGCTCCTACTTATAGATAAGAAAGCTGAGGTCCAGGGAAGAGAAGCAGCATGCTCAAGGTAACACTGCCAGCTAGGGCCAAAGCTGGGACCAGAGGCACTCTCCTGGCTGTGTGCATAAACTTCTTTTGATAGACTCTCCTTTCAGAATACCAGTCCCAGCAAGTGCTTCCTGAAGAAATGTTCCTGTAGGCAAAGGGGGCAAGTCCTCCTTTCTTCCCCTCTAGGAGAAAGTGGCAGAGACTGGCCTTGACTCAAGATCTTACTTCAAGGCACTGTCATTCAGTACATACAAAGTATCTTACAGATTCCTTGACTGATCTAAAACAGTGAGCAACACAAGTACCCACACTCAGACCCAAAAGGAAGGGTCTGGTGAGATGTTCTGTGTGATTCTACAGGGAACTTCCAATAATCCAGAAAGTCATTTTAGGACAATGGAAATCAGATTTGGGGTTTGAGAGTTGAGCGTGGGAAGTGAGGAATGCGGAGCATTTCCAAAAGTGTGTTCCAGGTCCTTGAATGCTGGAATTAGCCAGAAGCCCTGGGGTAACCCCTTCACCTCTAGGTTTCAGTGTGCCCACCGGGAACCTAAGGGAGATGGTAGACCTCTGCAGTGCCTTTCGGCAAGGCACTTCCTAATCCTGTGGATGGATGAAAGGAAGTGACTTTTCTGCTGTCAGCTAGGGCTGGGGAGTTGCCAGTCAGCCCTCTCCCCCAGTGCCTACTGTTTAAATGTTTCCAAGCTGTGCCCAGGCAGGGGACAGGAGCTGCCACCTGGATCACAGGCCAAGTCTTAGAGCGGGAGCATGTGTCACTCCTCAATGATCACAACGTAACACCTTCGAGGGACATTCCGGACCGCAGCGGGCCTCAGAGAACGTCGCCTCCAGGGGGAGCACAGGTACACCTGCCGCATACAGAGCCGGCTGGGTCTCCTGATTCCGGCTTCAGTGGCTCATGATGCTGTAACTCCCTTAGTCACCAGTTTCACTGTAAATGATTCAAGCTCGTTCTATGAACGATCTAGAAGGTGGCGGTGGTGGTGGGAGGAGGGCACCAAGCAATAAGCCGGGAGTCCCTGTTTTCCGACACAAGGACCACCACACTCCACCCCCACCACCCCGCGTACAGTAAAAAATTTTTTTTATTCTCTTGGCCTTTCTTCTTTCCCGATTTCTGGTTCTGTTGTGCGCGTAGAGGCCCATAGGACAGATCCTGCCTTCCGGGTGGAGTTTAAATGTATATGTAGAATTTTGCAGGACTATTGCGTCATCGTGGGCGTCGTCGTGGTTCCCCCGTCTGCTCCCAGTACCGTGGCCTTTGGACGCTTCTGGGCGCTGCGGGCACTTTCGCGATGAGCCCTCGGCCCCCTCCCCCAGCCCCACCTACCTCCCGCTCCCTCCCCCTCGACTCCTCCTCCTCCTCCCCGCCCCTGCCCGTGCAGGGAGTCAAGCTAGGGTGCGCAGGCAGGGCCGCGAGGCGGCTGCGGGCGGGGCACCGGCGCGGGGCGCAGGGGCCGGCGGGCGGGGGCGCGTGGCGGGCGGCCGGCACCGGGGGTGGTGCCTCAGCCAGCCCTCCTCCCGGGCTCAACCGGGAGGGGGCCTGGGCCGACGCGGGGCGAAGAGAGCCGCGCCTGGCCCCTCCCCTCCGTTTCCCCCCTCCAGAGTTGCTGTCTCCCCCGGGGCCGGAAAGTCTTATGATCCAGCGGGTCCTCCTGGGGAGGCCGGGCCGGGGAGAGGGCGCCGGCACGGAGAGGCGGGAGCAGCAGGCGGGCAAGGCGACCGGGGTCCGGGCGGGGATCCAGGCAGGGACCAAGGCGCAGGCAGCGCCCCGGGCCCGCCACCCCCTCCTCTCGGGCCGGGGGAGCCGCTGCATGGGGCCAGGGGGACGCCCGTGCTGCGCGGAGCGGCGGCGGCGGACCCCCCAGGAGGGCTGGGGTTGAGCCCGGGTCCGGAGCGGGGGCTCCGGGAGGACCATGCCCGGAGGCCGGCGGGCCGCAGCATGGCTCACGGGCCCGGCGCGCTGATGCTCAAGTGCGTGGTGGTCGGCGACGGGGCGGTGGGCAAGACGTGCCTACTCATGAGCTATGCCAACGACGCCTTTCCGGAGGAGTACGTGCCCACCGTCTTCGACCACTACGCAGGTAAGACTCAGAACTGCTGACTAAGGGACCGCTCCCCGGGCCGGGAACTTTGGAGCAACTTTGGCGGAGCCCCCTCGCTGCCTCCCCTGAGCGCGCTCCCCACCCCTCCCCCGCCGCGCCCTCGGACGGGCGACCGTCCCCACCCCCAGGTCTCGCCTCTGGCCGGCTCCTTTGCCTCCGATTACAACCCCTCTTCCTACCCCCATCCCCGCGCCCAGTCGGGGCTCCCTGCGCTTCCCAACCGCCCTGGCACCGAGCCGACCTCCTTGACCTTCCCACAGCCAGCTCCCCTACTGCTTCTAGCCACAGGGAGAAACATGTGAGGGAACCGGGCGAGATGTGTGCCTATGGCACTTGGGAAAAGAGAGCGGGCAGCTGGGGGCTACATCGCACTCTGGCCTCACGCCCTTTCACAGAGGGAAGGGTACAAGGGAAAGGGGGTGGTATCTCCCGGAGAGCGCCCGCAGGCCTCCAGCTGGGTTGGGAGAGGGAGGGTCCTGGTGAGGAGCGAATTGCCCCAAAGGCTAGATAACTGTGAGCTTCTCTCCCCTTTCCCCCTTTGTGCCGTCGCAGTCAGCGTCACCGTGGGGGGCAAGCAGTACCTCCTGGGACTCTACGACACGGCCGGACAGGTGAGTGTCTTGGCCCCCGGCCTACATCCCTTTCCTTTCCCCAGTTCAGGGTGGCTGCGAAGGGCCTTTGAAGCCGAGGTGTCTAGGAGGGAGGGTGTGTCTGCCGAAAGGCCCTTTGGATCAAGTCTACTTCTTTTTTCAAGTCAGCAAATTAGGAAAAGGAAACAACAAACGCAGACCAGCTCCCCTCAAGCGAACCCCTGGGCTATGAAAGTTTTCGCCTGTGTGTGCCTTCTGCATGGTGCCTGGTGTGTGGGTCCCAACTCCTGTTGCAAAGTGGCTGTGGCCAATGGTGAAGCGTCCTTATTTTTAGTTGCAGATGACCAGGTCTCCCCTCACAGCCTCTGTCTGCTCCCTCATTGGTGAGTGGTCTGCCTGCCCGAGAAGCCTGATTGGTGGGAAATGGCATCATCTAATATGATGGGAAGGCATTTGGTCCTGGTTATGTTTATTACAACATCATTGCACTCTGGGACTCGAGTCCCTGAAAACGTAATTTGTGGTGTTACCAGAGGACCACAGGGAAAAAAGAAAAGAAACAACAACCATCCAGCCACTCCCTGAGGCTGGGAGGTGGAAGAAGGGTTAAGAGTTCAGTGTGAATCTTGGAGGAAGAGCTTTCCCAGCCAACAGGAAGGCTAGGTGACTTTGCCTGGGTTTTCTTTGGGGGAGGTTACTGTGCAGAAAGAAAACGCACACTCCTCCCAGTAGCCTCTGGCATTATTTGCCAATTAGAGGTTGCTCCTGGAGGAGTAAGTTCTCTTTCTCTGCCCCTGCTCTGCCCTCTTCCCAGGCCCACTTTGGCTGTGGGGCTCAGATGATTGTGTGATGAAGTTCTGCAGCATCCAGCCCTGTGATAGACCCCAAGACTCGGGCAGAAGTGTCCACATATAACGCAGCTTTGAGTCCTTAAGGGCATGTGTGTAGCTGAGGGGCTTAAAGAGTGCCTTTGGGGGATGTCCAGTAGTAGTTTCATTATCTAAAATGAGGTTTAAAGAATTGAGATCATTCCCCTGTGCATGTATATTATATGCCTCATGCTTAGCACTGAGTCTGGCACACCTAGGTAGGTGCTCACTTTTCTCGATTTGGATTTCAGAAATGTGGTTCCGGGTTAGATTCTGGAAAGTGTCTTGTTTTGGGGGTGCCTTGATGTGGCCTCTGGTTTCTAACTTGTTAAGCTAGAGGAGCATCTGAGAACGGAGAAACTGTTGGCAGTGCAAGGTGCCAGAGGCTGCCCCTTTTCACCAGACTGGCCCAAGTCAGTACAAACAGTTCTTAGTTTTCCAGGGCCCTTTTTGGGTCCCTGCCTTGTAGTTGTTACTCCTTATACCTTTATCAGAATATATGGAGGGCAAGAGGCAGAACTCATTCAAACAAATTCGACCAACTTTTAAGCAGTGTAGTTGATAAACAACAGGTTGAAGATACTGGTTGAAAGGAGAGAGATTTTTTTTTAATTGTCTCTAATTTTAACTTCTTTTAACTTCTTTCAACTACTGCCTCTTCCCTTTTCCCCTTTATTTGTCACTATGATGATGTTTTGACCTTGAGCCTAATTCAACAGGATTTGTGTATGTCAGAGCTGTTCTATGGTATACAGTCAAATCCGACTAATATTTTCTGAGTTCCTTCTAAATATCAGCCATGGTGCAGTCATGTACAAATATCATTTTATGGTCTCCTCAGAGCAACCCTGTAAGATAGGTGATACTACATCTTTGTAGATGAGGAAACTGAGGCTCAGAGAAGCTAGGTTGCTGGCCTACAGTCACACAGCTACCGAGGGTATTGTTGGGATTAGGACATGGGTCTGAATTTGCCCCAGTTTGAGGTGGTGATGTACACAGGGAGCCATGGGAGGTACTGAGATGCCACCTGGGTTGACTGGATTGCTTGTGTGTCTGTGAACATGATACTTGAAATCTTCACAGCCATTCTTTGATTGTCTGCGACCCCATGCAGAGGAGAGAACCCAGATCCAAAGGGTCACCCAAAGTTGGCCCTCACAAATCCAGGGCTTCCCATATGTCATCATAATTGCTCTTTCCAGTGAAGATGGTAAGATTTATACCAAGTGGGATCAACCTGTTAGTAAGGTTCAAATATTACTGTCTTTACCCGATGGTTGGACACCTACATTGTTGGCCAAGATGTGTGTTAGGCCCCCTTGGTGTTTTTCCCAGTGTCTAAGGTTTTTCTTTTTGGATCAAAGTTAGTGATAATTCATCTTTCAGCATTTAAGGGTTTATTATTAATAAGCAATCCCAGCAAGGTAATCATCCATGAGATTGAATGAGGAGTGTACACGGTGTACACTAGCACTGTGTCAAACTCCTGGGGGGTACAAAAGAATGAATTTAAGATAGGGGTCTGCCACACTATACTGACAGTAAAGGTGGAAGTGTCTGAATCAGACGCTTGTTCATGTGTGTTATGTAGGAGATTCCTGTGTTGTATTTGGTTACTTGAGACTTCATGCCTCTATGAATCAGTATCAGATTCATCTTAGAATAACAATAATGATAAATAATAAACGCATATGCATGCATATACATACACAGATACAGAGAGTTTTTAAGCCTTAAGGGCTGCAGAGGGAAGCCCATGGACTGTGGAACCAAATAAGCTTGGGCTCAGAGCTTTACCTTGCTGTATTAATCATGTGATTCTAGCTAAATTATTTACCTTCTTTGCGATCTAGTAAAATTATGGGTGATTAGAATTAATCCTGCAGTGTTGTAGGCTGGCTTAACTTGTTTAGTGTATGTAAAGGTAACTAAAGCTGGTCTTCATTCACAGTGGGTGTGTAGTAAGTATTACGAGAAGTTATTGTATTCCAGTGTGAGCAGTTTTGTGGGGGGAAGGGGTCGCAAGTGGAAGAAGATAGTGTATTATTCCTGGAGTTGATAGAAATTCCATTAGATGCCACATCGTAGAGCCTTTTCTGCAGAGGTGTGGAGCCAACTTTGCACTTCTGAATTCCTGCAGTCCTTATCACTGAACTCATGGACATAGCTGAGTGCCCCCTGCTTAAATGTCCTGTTGTGTCAGCTGTTCTCCTTTCTTAGTAGAGCTTGCATGCCCAGCAATGTCAGAGAAACTCAGAAAAACTAAGAGTTCAGTATAGAATTTGAGAAGCAAGTGGGGTATGCAGGTTTCTGCTGGTTCTGCTTCGGGAGGTCGGATGGGATGAGGAGGAAGCTCACAGCGTGGGAAAGCAGTTGCTTTGCTCAGGCACACCGGCTTAGTGCCCTTGAGTAACAGCAAGAGTGCCCCCCTCGCGTTGGAACTTCTAATCTATATGATTACTTTTGGTCTTTTCTTTGATTCCAGTCAATTCAAAGCCATAGATAATATTTGCCCAGTTTCTGTATTAGGGAACATATCAGGGAACTCAAGAGATGACTCTAGTCAATGACCCATTGCCTTCTGGAACAGGCTGCTTCCCTCTTGACCTCTGGTGATATTGGTAGAGAGAGAATGAATATGACTGTGTGTTGGGCAGTGTTTGTCCCCGTCATGTGCTCTGCCTGGGCACATCCCTCAACATACCCAACATACTCACCAGCCAAAGGGAAGTCCCCTTTCTTGGCCAAGCCCCTGGGTGGCCCAGGAGCAGTCCTGACATCCTGCCAGGCATTTGGGAGTGGAAGTTGAAGGCAGTGCCTTCCTCCTCCCTGGGGCCGGGTGTTGGGGTCTGGCTTCCGCCCTGGTCCTCTGGAGCTTCTCCTTTCTTGCCTGGACTTTCAGGTCCTCTGTGTAGGCGCTACAGCAGCCCCATGATCTGTTCAGGAAAGGACTGGAGAGGAGAGATTTTCCCTCCTGCTTCTGTACTGTTTGGATCTCAGGGGAAGTGGGAAGAGCTCTTGCTCTCTGTGCAGAGGAGCCTGTGGGAGCTGCCTGCCAAGCTGCTCTTGAGCTGCCGGCTCCAGGCTGACTCCAGGCTGATCTCTTAATCCTTGGCAGGAAGGCAGAACTTGATACCCTGAAGAGGGAAGGACTGATGCCCAGTTTATCCCAGGTCCCAGAATACCCACGTCAGCAGGGTGTGTGTCAGGGGTGAGTGGGTTGCCTGGAGTTCTAGAGTTAGCCACTGCCTCCATATGTGGAACCGTATGTATGCTTTTGGGAGTGCTCTTGCTACACTGGTAACCTAAATGCATACAAGTTCAAGAATGCATACACGACAGCTATAAATATCCTTTACTCAAGTGTCCCTGCTGTTGGTTTTTCAGTGACAAGTGAGGTCTGTGACACTTGATGTTGCCCAGCACCTATGGCTGCTGAGCCCTTGGATGCCCCGGGGGAAGTTCTTTCCCTCCATTCAGGAGTCTCCGTGAGGCCACCCCGGAATGCCCCACCTGCTGCTGTGCCCTGCCCTCTGCCTTTCATGGGGCAGCACCCAAGGCCCAGGATGACAGGAAGGAGAATGGGAAGGGTCAGGTTTTGCCACTCCTTGAGCTCCTCCCACCTTCAGGCAGGCATCCTCCCAATACCTTCCCAGGTAGACTTTTCCCAGATGAGGAAATTGAGAGTGATGGGTTTATGGAAACCAGGCAGAGACGTAATGAGGAAGAAGGTTTTCCCTCATTTGGAGGGGGCCTGGCAGGGAACATCAGTAGGGCTTAAGAAGTGCCTACTCACGTCACCCAGGCTCCAGGTCCCTGCAGCCCCACATTGCCTCCTTGAGGGGCCCAGGAAACAAGTTTGTGAGGAGCCATAGCATCCCTTCCAGACATCAGTTGCAACAGGTGAGATGCTGGCACTGAGCCTCCTGGTCTCCCTTAGTAACCTACTGTAGATTTGTCATCTGTGCAGTTTGCTAACCTTTTTAGGAGCTATTTATATCCTCAGCCTGTACCGCATCGCACAGCACTGATTTCCTTCTCTGCGTTGGGAAGGTGGATGGCCTTTGCTGGCTGCGAAGCCTTTGCAGTGACTGAATGCCCTGTTCCCCATCTTGGCACTCTGATGTGGGTTTGGGATGTACTAGCTCA